TATTACTGAGCTTTTCAAACTGGTCATTATGGTGGCCTCATCTGTGTGTGTGTGGGTAGGGTTGTTGTCATGGTTTAACTGCAGCCAGCAACCAAGAACCACGCAGCCACCCGCTCACTCCCCCCTGGTGGGATGGGGGAGAGAATCAGAAGAGTAAAAGTTGAGGAAATTCATGGTTTGAGATAAAGACAGTTCAACAGGTAAAGCAAAAGCCATGCCCACAAGCAGAGCAAAACAGGGAATTCATTCCCCACTCCCCATGAGCAGGCAGTTGTTCAGCCATCTCCAGGGAAGCAGGGCTGCATCACGCATAACGGTTACTTGGGAAGACAAACACCATGACTCCAAATGTCCCCCCCTTCCTCCTTCCCTCAGCTTTACATGCTGAGCATGACACCATATGGTATGGAATATCCCTGTGGGCAGCTGGGCTCAGCTGTCCCAGCTGTGTCCCCTCCCAACTTCTTGGGCACCCCCAGCCCCCTCGGTGGTGGGGTGGGGTGAGAAGCAGAAAAGCCCTTGACTCCATGTAAGCCCTGCTCAGCAATAACAAAAACATCCCTGTATCATCGACGCTGTTTTTGACAAAATCCGAAACATAGCCCCATACCAGCTACTGTGAAGGAAAGTAACTCTATCCCAGCCTTAACTAGCAGTTGTGTTTGGAGGATTATGTAGAAGTAAAATGTAACTGCTGTTTGAGTAAGCATAGTGAAGACCGATCTGTGGGAAATTTACCTTCTCTGATTTTAGTTTTACAGCACAGCCATTCATTGTGGTACTATTTAAATGATTACTAGTGCTAACCAAACCAGCTTTTAGAGTGACCTCTTAAGAAGTTATAAAGTATCAGGATCAGTTCTTCTCCAAAGCAGACTAGTAAATTATGAGTTCTGGAGATTAATGAGCTAGCTCTTCAGGGACTTGATGATAATTCTTAGCGCTTTGTTGCCTGAACATAGTTAGGAAATAAAACATGGTTTAGGAACTTTGTATACTAAAGAGTTTCTGTTCTCTAGCTAGAAGTTGCCAGGTTATTTTGGTTTAAATTCAACTCTCCAAGTAAAATAACAGTACAAATTTTTTAAGTAGCCTACTTGAAATTGTGATTATAAGTTAGGGATAGGTGCATAGTGATAGGTAAGAAATGTTGAGAGTTGTTGGAAGTTTGTGGTCTAACAGATTCGAGTACAAGTTCATTAGTGGACACATACAAGTTTTAGTTATAAGATGCAGCATCAGTCAGTTGTTATGTGAATTCCTCTTGTAAAATTTAAACAAGGACTGTGCTTCCTCTTCTCAGTTTCTCAGTAATGTGAATTCTGCTCGACTGCCGTGTCCCCGCTCCCCCCCCGCCCCGCCTTTAACTTAATTTCTGATATTTTAACTACTATTAGGAGAGAACTGGAAAAACTGAAGAAGGATTTGGAAGAAGAGAAGCTGTTGCGAAGCAATCTGGAGGTAATATTAGCACCTGGGGATGCAGGGGCAGAGTTTAGAAATAGGTAGTCGGTGTTCTAGAATTTGATGCCACAGGAAAGTCTTAATAAACCTGCTCAACTTTATTTTTATTTCTTGCTGTGTTACTATTTGCTTAAATGAATGTCTCACAAGGCAGTTGGAGATTCACAGTTATAGAAGATTCACAATTAGTGTAAAAGTTCACATCTTAGTTCAGCTTTCTTTATCTAGAAAATTATTATTTAAAATACGTATGAGTATTGGGATGGGAGTTCCGTTTAGCCTTGCTAGATGTTGTTCTTTGCTAGAAATATGTCCAACTGGACATGTTCCAAAATGGAAGATTAATACTTTGCTTTTGTAAGATTGAAGGACAAATTTACTTTATGTAATCAAATCAAAAACAGGGCAAAAGGAAACTTTCCTAAATTTTTGATGAACTGTTTAAATATTAAGTGGATAATTTGCCAAAAGAACAGAATGCATCTGAAAAATTTCCTTATGAATGAATGCCACGCCTCTCAATTTATTGATGAAGGCAGCTACCTGCATTACAATATGATGCCATTAAGTCCTTAATAGGATGAGCTCATTGTAGAATACTATTCAGTCTGGTACAAAAGGGCATTTTATTTATGAAATAGTACTTCTTATTGACTACAAAACTACTTTCAAAACTTCAGAAGAACTTCTGGTGCGTCCTCTTTTTAATTCGTCGTCTCCAGAGCAATCAATGAAGTTGCCTTAGATATGCACTGGGGATGAAGAGGAGGTAGCTTCTGTCCTCTAAATCCATTTGAAGAAAGACAAATCGGTCATCGCACGATATTTTGCATGAAGGCTGCTTTAGGAAGTTAGTCTGGGGTGATGGTGCAGCATTACGTGGGGACATGTCAAGTGATTCCACAACCCAGCTTTGACTGCTTTATTCAGAGTGAGTTTATCCAGTAAGAGGTACCAGCAAATTTTTAATGATTTTAAGTTCTTGTTTGTTTAGCAATATAGTAGTATAAAATCAGTTATAAATATTGAGGTGTCAAATGCTTCTGTGTTAAGATTTTATTTACTTAAGTGTCTTTGAAATATAAAGCTTATAATTTTGGTGAAAGCTCTGAAGACTTTATAGATTATTGCTACTTTAATACTGACTCTCTTTCTTTTCAAAATGTCCATTTTCCAGCTTGAAATAGAAAAATTGAAGAAAGCAGTGATGTCTACATGAGACAGCTATGGACTCAATGTTTTTAACTCACCAGGAATTCAAAGCTGAACAGAAGGAGAACTGACTCTTATTACATACTAATGGATGCTGGTGTTCTACAGTCTTAAAGAAAAAATATAGTAAAAAAAAAAAAAAAAAAAAAAAGAGTATAGTCTTTTATTCAGAGAGATAAGAAAACAAAAAAGAATAATGGTGTAATTTTTTTGCCAATATAAAAGAGGCCTTATTTCTTACTGTGCTGGAATTGCAGACCTTATTTTTTGGTTTGCTTGAAAATACTACTGAATCTGTATAGAATGGAGAGGGAATTCTTAATAATTTTTATTGAATACCTGTAGCTTAATTTTTAAAGAGATCTATACTATAAATAGGGTGATCTGTCTTTACAACTAATCTGTAAAATAGTCTATTTGGAGGGATGGAATAACTGTATCATACTTCTAGTCACTACTTTTCCCCTACAAGCAAAAGGGAATATATGATATTTGTATAATTTTGGCAGTCTTACCCAGGGTTATGCTGTTGTGCCTGTCTGCAGTGAGAATATTAATAATATGCTGTTTATAAGTTGAGTAATGAGATAGGAATTTGTTCATGCAATGAAGCAGGTGAAACTCCTATGCATTGTAGTAAGAACGAATGATCTAATCTGAGTAGTTCAGCAGAACATAATGTCACTTGCACTATTGGATTAAAAAGGGATTAGGACTGAATCAAGAAGTTAAAACAAATTTAACTTTTAAAACCACAAAATGCAAGAAGTACAGAAACAAGACTAGAATCCAGTCTTAACTCAACCTGTTGTGCCTAAAATATTACAGCATGAAAAAGTAAACCTGAAGTCGCAATGCTTGTGTTTCTGTGTACCTGAAGTCATCGGTCTTTCTAGTCCTGAAATACGCATCTTGATCTGTTTTTTAAAGTAGTCAGGTTTTGTTTATAATATGTCTCCAAATAAATCCCTTTGGAACTTTAATACTCTCAAAAGGTTTCGATATTTATATATTTATGCCATAAACTTTCTCAATGCATTGTGTACCTCTAAATTTAATAACATCTTTGTATTTTAATGAGTGATTGGAACAGTTGCTTTGACAGCATTGTACTGGTGTCCAAGACGGTGTCTTTCACCTTTTATGGAAAACGGTTGAAATCTTGTGGATTGCCATTATCTTTAACCCCTGAGCTCAACACAGTGCACCAGAATAATATACAAATAATATGCAAAGTGATGGGAGACAATGATAATTATTGCTGTGATCATTTGATTAAAGAATTAAAAACCCTACAGCTTTAGAAAGCCAGTCAAATGCATTACTTCTGTTAGTAATCACCTTACCTCCTCTTGGTCTACGAGAATTTAAATGACAAAAACATGCCCTGCAGTTTGCAATTTCACAGTTAAGAGAAGTAATTAAGTTTCTATTCATGGGAATAGTTACAAATTTACTAATTATTTAGTATGTCACTTGAGCAAGTGACATGGAAGTGTTACTTCTTGAGAGTATACTTTTTCCACAGTTGATGCATCATAAAATACAAACATCAAAAAGTCAATTGGAGAATGTTTTCTAGTTGCTGATTTAAATTGCTCATAAAATTCGATTAATATATTATGCAGATATTGGGTAATATTTGCTAGTTACATTGCTAATGAGCTGATTCAATATTAATGCTTTTAATTGCCTAGATGCATTGCAAGTGAAGACTTGAGCCAGATATTTATATTGAGGAATAATGTGCGGCAGTAATGCTTCTCATCAGACACTAAACTCTTACTTAGAATTCATACCTCTAAGTCAGGTGATGAAAAGCAAGAATTGAGGCTAATGGAATAGCCAGTTTTGTTATACAAGCTCTTCTCTGTGATTAGAGTATAAAACAAATATTGGAACAGATTGCTCTATGGAAATTGCGTCTGCATGTAAGCTTGTAGCAGACAAACAGAACAAGACAATCAGTTAAAACCACAAATGAAAGATGTTCATTATTTAATGGCCTTTGTTCGCTATAGCAATAAATGACCCAAGTGCAATGACTTGATTTAATAAAACCCTCTTTTAAAAGTCGCTGCTATGAGTATTTTTAGCCATAAGGAAGTTGCCCCGATATGTGTGTCTCTTGTCTTCAGCTAGTGTTATGTACTAGAGCGGAGGGGGAGAGAGTAATGGTTTTGAAGACATTCCACAGTACAAGTTCCTAAAAGCAGTATGCTTCACTGACTTGTTTACCGGTGCTGTAAAATGATGCATGCTATCCAAACTCAGCAAATAAAAGAAGTTTAAAAACCTGTTGAAATGTCTGCTCAGTTCTGTCCAGGAATGTTTCGTATGCCATTAAATTCTTTGCAGGAGGAGTTCAGGGGGCGGGGGGGTGGGAGCAAAGTATATTATTATTTATATAGTCCCCCTTTCAGGCTTTCAGATTTTAATTTGCTCGCTGGGATGCTCTGGTTCCTGACTGTCAGGACGGCTGAGGTTCCAAACACTTGGAAACCTCACTGCTTTTCTTTGCGAGTGTAACTGGGAATCTTAACTTCTCAGTATCTCTTTATTCCCCTTTTTTTTTCCTGTTGGTCCATACTGAACTGACCTTACTGTGCATCTTCAGAGCCTTTTTAAAAAAAACCTGTTGCCACTCAGTAACATGGATAAATACATGTTTGAATCACATCTTAAATATATAGCGAAGAACTGAAGACTGAGAGTATTGGCATGTTTAAAAGGAGTATGGATGAGGGAAAAGGCAAATGAAGAACAGAACAACAGAAGGGCATTTTTAAACTATAAGATTTTTATTCAACCTTAATAACATTCTCTAAAAAGCTTTTGTTTGCATACAAGGTACAATTAAAAAAAATACAAGGTCTACTTTGGTTTTAATTTATTTAAACAATCACCACGAAGATAACATTTTTCATTTATGTTGCTTCAGCAGAATGAAGTTTCTGATAAAAATCTGTAATGTATTGCAAGTTTTGACTTTGAGTTGTGTAGCAAAGCATTTGTTGAACTGTTAAATAAATGCATTGTATTCATTAAAGTCATAAATTAGCAGAAGTCTGTTAACTCTTTCCAGAGGAAATGGTAGAAACAGGTTTTCACAGCTGCCTTACCTTTGGCTTCTGTTAAAGTTCTCTCAGAGGTTCCTGACTGCTGGCTGTTCGCTTTCTCAGAGCAGTGTCAAAGCAGCTGCTCATCTGTCTTGGGTAACTGGATTTTGCAAGAGCTGAAAAGACAAACCACTCCCTTTTGGGTGCCTGGGCACTTACCTCCCAGCCTGAAGAATGCAGACAGCCTCCACCAGCTTGTAAAGCGTGAGCCTGGTGCTGCTGGGTTCAGGGTTTGGAGTACTCTCCTTTCTTGCTGGAATTTGGTTTGAATATCTTTCTAAACCCCTGGGAGCACAGATTCACACCTCTTCTTTCTGGCAGAAGCATGTGTGTGTGTCCGAGTGAAGTATGCCAGCCTTTGTGTCGTTCGGAGGACTTCTGCTTAGGCTGAGGCGGTGTTTGAGAATCGAGAGGTACTTGGTCCTGCCCTTGTAGCAAAGGTTCAGGGAGTGTGTAGAAGCACCACTCCTGGTGACTAGGGGAAGAAGTCTTTTAAAACGGGTGTCCATACCTTGACATGGTCTGATCTTTGGCCCTTCTGACTCAAAAGCGTGCTGGGGTGCCACTGTTTAGTTCATCTCTACCCAGCACTGGATCAAGTGCAAGCCATTTAACCTTTCCAGGTGGGTGGCGTTGGCTGTGTCTAATTGTGCTTGGCTTAGCTCCTACTTGATACCAATGTGAGATGGACGGCTGGCTATATCAAAACAGAACAGTAAATAACACCTACCTTTAGGCTAAAACTGGAGACCTACCTCGTGGCCAAGGACTAACTGAAGTTGTGGTAGCAGACATTATCTAAGGAAAGCCTATGAGCTCATGCCAAACACATTGCAGGACTGTGGGGAAAAAAATTAGTGGCCAACAC